CAAGATTCCTCCTGACTCACTGCTGGATTTACAAATGTATGCACCCTAGTCTGGCTAAAGGTAACTTTCTAAGCTTCTCATACAAAAGTCTAAGTGTCACAGTAGTTATCTTTCTCCAAAGGGAGAGATCTTCAAAGCAGGCTTCCTTTTTTATTATGTACTTTATTGGTATATTTCATCCAAATTTATTTAATTGATGACATCTTTTGTTCTTGGTTAAAGAGAGATGGTAAAATATATGTTATTCTGACACTGCTTAAGGAAGTATTTTACCTTGATAACTTTATAGTAAATCCTACTGGCAATAAAGGAGAGTCAGGAATTAAATGTGTGGTTTCAAGCCTCAATACTGCTACACTTTGATGACTTAATCATCTCCATATTAGCACAAGCCATGATATTTACTTTTCATTCCACATCATTGGTAAGCAAAAAATTAATCCACCCTACACAGAACTTCCTGGGGGCCATGTGCTCCTTGGGCAAGTGTGAAACATAGAAAGGGCAGTGTGGACTTGCATCCTCTAAACCTGGAGAGAAGGGCTGTTGGAAGAGGAAGGCTCTGAGAATTCTCCCGGGGAAGACTAAGTCAAGTTGAGCCCATCTCCATAAATTAGCTAGACACCTCAGCTTTTCTCAGCAGCAGATTGTAACTGTCACCTAAACCCACAATCCTAAGGGATCCTATTCACAAGCACTTGGCAACCCTCCCAGGGGCTGAGGCCTCTGTCTATGAGGGGCCAGCCATATTTCAGATCCCCATCATCACATTCTTTCCTGGTGATCTGAGGTCAACTAGTTCCAGTGAGAAAAGGAGACCTTTAAATAGTGTCAGATGTGGACTATCAGGTGACAGCAATCAGAATCCCTTTGTCTTAGCCCAACATAATTATTTTGTTCTATGGTCATAGGCTGTAACTCCAAATCTTCCCAGATGAGTTTTACTATAAATGAAGATAGGTGGAGGTATGTGGATGGATGAAGGTAAACATGAAACAATGTGACCTAATGAAAAAAATCAGTGAGTTTAAGACTGGAAATTTAAGGTTCTATTCCTAACCAGCTATATGATTTTGTACAGTTACCAGACCTCTCTGTCTCACTTTCTTTACCTTCAAAACATTTAAGCTGGGAGTTGGGCGCTGGTGGCTCATGCCTGTAATCCTAGCTACTCAGGAGGCTGAGATCTGAGGATCACGGTTCAAAGCCAGCCTGGCCGGAAAGTCCATGAGACTCTTATCTCCAATAAACCACTAGAAAACCGGAAGTGGCGCTGTGGCTCAAGCAGTACAGCGCTCTCCTTGAACTGAAGAGCGCAGGGACAGCACCCAAGCCCAAAGTTCAAGCCCTACTACCGACAAAACAAAACCAAAAACCATTAAGCTGGGAATGAGATACATAAGCTCAGTGGTAGAGTACCTGTCTAGTATTGTAAGGCCCTGGGTTCCAACTCCAGCAGTACAAAACAATAAAAAAAAAAAGTAATGGGGATATTGTAAATAATTTCCACAGCTTTCAGATCCTAAAATTCTAGAAAGTTTCTCATCCACTATTGAAAATCAATTACATAAGTGCTCATGGACTATAAAGACTTTGAGTCTTACTACTTTGAAGTCCTTTGGGTTGGGTGCACCTATCTCATTAGCAAAGGTATATCAAAATATGGGAGGGCAATTAATGCTGAGAAACACTCATCTCCCACAATACAGAAAGAAAGAAGTTGGTGCTATCTTTGAAAGGTAATTTTGCATATTTACCACAAGTCTTTTTAAGGTCACAACTTTTGACATATTTCACCATAGAAATGTCTGTAGTGTAGTCACTTGAAAATCAGAAGCACTATGACCACTGTATTCAAACTAAATAAGCATTTAAGTTATCACATTCTCTACAACAACTGATAATATTTAATGACACAGGAAAATTCTCATGTTATAATATTAATTATAAAAAGCAAGATGAAACACTAAACAAATTGCATGATCATAATTATGTATTATATATGTTCTACATTGTTATCTACATATGCACAGTATTCATAAATAAGACTAGGAGGTTAGATAATCTGTGAATAGTGGTTATTTTGAGATATAGATATATTTTCTTATTTGGTCTCTTGATATTTCAGATTCTCTATGACACTATGCAAAAATTATAGTCAAAGGAAGTATTAGTATAAATATAAGACTCAAGGATATAAAACAATGAAAGTTTTGGCAATCACCAACTTGTTCTATCTACTAAATACATTAGGCATTCAGATGGAAGAATATCAGCGTGGGCTAGGATGGGGAATGAAAGAGTCCTAAAGGGGTTCATCTGACAGGTCCTTATCACACAAACAGAATCTGGATAGAAAGACTAGTACTTAATCCACAGGTTTTAAAGGCAGATTTCCTATATTCAAATCTTAGCCCTACCACTTTACCTGCCATATGGGATGTTTCAGTTTTCTCATCTATAAAATGTGGCTGCCATCTTTCTGTGTCGAGTTATTCTGATGAATAAATGAGTTCATGAGAAGAGACTGAAGGACAATATGTGCCTAAATATACACAGTAGGTACAGTATATAAGTGCTAACATAATCAAAAGGGGTTTTAGGTAGCAACATATTTCACCCTTTTGCTAATTCTTACTATGTATAAGATCCACACAATGGCCTATCACACCCAACTTACAGATGAGCAAAGAGGGCCAAATTACTACTTGATCCCAGCAAGTTTGACTCTAGTTCCCAGGCTTCTACCATGGTGCCTTCCTGCAGGGATTAGTAAACATTCTCACCTGAACACAGGAGTTCCTCTTGAAAAGTACAGGAAATACCACTGACAGAGGGTGTCCAACTGGTAATGAAATCTAATCAAGGGAATTAAACTCTAATTCCTTAAGCAATTAGAAGTTCATAAAGAACTCTGAACAAAGCTGTAGGACAAAGTATGAATTTAAAGAAATGAGCCCCAGTAGGTAAACATAGGCTGCGCTGGCTGTAGGAAAACAAAGAAAGAAAAGACAGAGGCAGAGAATGACAATATGTAGATATTATAGATGAAGCAGGTGCTGTGTTGATGAGGGACCAGGCAAGTGACAACAAAGAGCACACAAAATTGAGCCAATCAAAACCACTTTCAAAGGAAGATTAAGAAAAACTACAAATAAAATAGTGGGAGCAAAACAGGGCTACGGTACATGCTGGTGGTATCTCATAATCCACTCATGGTAAATTTCATCCAACTTTTTATGCAATTAACTTAATTTTAGGACATTTTGGAACCTAAACCAATGGTGGTCGCAAGCAGAGCATCACAAATGAAGTAAGGCCTAGTGAGTGAAAGGCAGACTGCAGTAAGAGACAAAAGTGATGAACAGAGAGGGCATAAACACCCATTGTGTAAAGTGGCCATTTACAGAACCAATATAAAGTCCACACTAATGGCTAACACTGACACAGAGTTGGATAACATCTCCTAGTACAAAGGCCTACTGATTTACCTCTTGTTTGAAAGAGGCAGCTGAGCCTGCCAACAAAAATATGTGATTGATCTAATTAGCACACTGAACTGAGGAAAACAGTGTGCCAAACTCATATCCACTCAGGATGACTCCTTCCAGGACAAAGCCATGTCCCATAAAAGCCCTATCCTTCAACCTGCACATTCGCATTCATTAAAAGGGGCAACCCCTGCCAGTACTCAGGATGGAGGAGCTTAATGAATATTATTGGATGGAGATGACACAGACGTGAAACTCAAAAGAATGAGCTCTCAGGGTAGAAAAAAGGAAGAAACACGAAGGGCTGTATAAATGTATGCGCAGTGGCTAAACTCCAATTACCAGCTGCAGCCAGCAATTGCGCTATATTATCCCTGTGTTCACATTCCCACTTTCTGCTTAATGCTTTATTAACAGAGCTGACAGTACTGCTCTCCACTCAGGGTTATTAGCACATACAAATCTGTTGAGACTGGCAAACTACTTCATTCAGTCAACAAATACACCAGGGCATTTACTCTGTGCCGGTAAAAAGGAATTATCTAGTCTTTCATTGCTAATGCAAGAGAAAGTCTAGAAACCAGACAGGTGTGTTAAAAATAAATAAATATTAATGGGAAAGGAACAGCAACAACCTTGTGGGGGGCAGGGGAAGGGGAGTGACATTAACCTCCACCTAACAGTCGGCTGATCACACAGAGCCGCTGACTCACTGGTGCTTTGGGGGTAGTTCACACAAACACCCTTCTTTAGGGAGAAGACAACTTCACTGTCTCTCTCATGGATTCAGGGCAAAGTCAAGAGTGTAAAGAAAGTTTTATATAGTTATTCGTACAAATTGTCTTGTGTCTTACCATTTCTCCCTTCAGGGAAGCACAGCAGTTAGGAGGTAAGTAGATGTGGAAACTGGGGTCTGGAAGCCTGGGTGGAACAGGAATGCCTAAGCAGACCCAGGAAATCAAGGCCAACTCTGGGTATAGTGGGCATAGAGCAGTGCACTGATCACATCTTCTATTCACTAAACCTTTCATTATTTTAAAAAACTACGACTTCATCTGAAATTATGGTAGCTTATTATCCCAGTGTTATGGCTTTTGGATACTTTTGAATTTGATAAATGAATCACCTTGATACTCTTGACCATGAGAAATGAATCATCTTGTATCTCCTAATACTGAATAATAGGCATGGGTTTATATGAGAAATCTTTCATGGAGAGAGAAAACAAAAACAGCGGGCGCCTGGCCCAGGCGGTGGCAGCACGGGGCAGGGGGTGGGGGTGGTTATGTAAGCATTGCGCGCTCCCGTGAGCTGGGAGCCAATAGGAGGCCTCGGAGGCTCGTGCTCGTGCATGCAGGGTTGGGGGAGGGAGCGCAGGACGTGCACGCGCCCTCCCCCTCGTCCACTGCTGCCACCTCCTCCAGCCACTGTGGTGCTGCCTGTGTGCTCATTCAGTAAGGACCGGGGACCTCTTTTGTGAAGCGGCATCTGAGGAGACTGGCGCTCGCGATGGCAGATGAAAAGCCCAAGGAAGGAGTCAAGACTGAGAACAAAGATCATATTAATTTGAAGGTGGCGGGGCAGGATGGTTCTGTGGTGCAGTTTAAGATGAAGAGGCATACACCACTTAGTAAACTAATGAAAGCCTACTGTGAACGACAGGGTTTGTCAATGAGGCAGGTCAGATTCCGATTTGATGGGCAGCCAATCAATGACACAGACACACCTGCACAGTTGGAAATGGAGGATGGAGATACAATTGATGTGTTCCAGCAGCAGAGAGGAGCTGTCTACTAAAAAAGGGAACCTGCTACTTTGCTCCAGAACTTTGTTCTTATAGACCAAGAATAATTCTTAATTAGAAAACTGCAATTTGTTCCACCACATCCTGACTACTACAGTATAGTTTTCTCTATTCTTTCATTTTCTCCTTCCCCATTCCTTTATTGTACATGAAGTAACTGGTGTATGTGCACAAGCATATTGCTTTTCTATTTTCTTTTTCTTTTCTTTTAAACTAAATGGCCAATGGTATATTTTGATTGACATCAAATGGAGATGGGATGGGGAAAAATACTGGTCCTGTGAAAATATCCCCCTTCTCCATTTGTGGCATGCTCATTCAGCTTTTAGCTTTATATTTCAGTAAGTTATTTTGCTCTCACTGCATACCTTGTTTGATTGGAGAATTTTAATGTTTTCATTTATCATTGTAAAACCAAGGACAATTTTATAACTTTTTTGTACATAGCTGTTACATGTAGGGCAATCTGTCTTTAAGTAGGGGTAAATTACTCTTTAAAAAAAATCCTAGATAGTTTACCCTTCAAGTCAAGAGTCTTGTTGTTTAAATAAACTTGTTTAAAATGAAAAAAAAAAACAAAAACAAAATGTTGATTTTACCATAACCATTCTACTGAATTATAATTACTCACATTTGGGTCAACTGTTCAGCTTTCTTAGCATTCAGCTCAATGATTACAAAAAAAATCTAATTTGAGGAGGGGAAGGGAAATAACAAAATGCTGAAATAAGGATACAGGTTGACCCATTGTTAACTATGAGATGTACAAGACTCTATGTTGAAAATAAACTTTGCAAGTTCGGGGCCGGGCGGGGCGGGTGGGGGGGGTAGGGAAGGGATGGTAGGAGAAAAAACGAAGGAGGGGGTAACAATGCTCGATAGGAAATGTACTCATTACCTTACTCATGTAACCATAACCCTTCTGTACAGTATCTTTACAATAAAAAATATATACAAAAAATGATTTTTTAAAAACTGCTTAGGGCTGCGAAGGTGGCTCAGTGGTAGAGTGCTTGCCTCGCATGCATGAGGCCCTGGGTTCGATTCCTCAGCACCACATAAGCAGAAAAAGCCGGAAGTGGCGTTGTGGCTCCAGTGGTAGTGCCCTTGCCTTGAGCTGAAGAACTGAGGGACAGCGCCCAGGCCCAGAGTTTAGGCCCCATGACTGGAAAAAAAAAAAAAAGAAACAACTGCTGAGATTCTTTTGCAATTAACATGAATGATGGTAGGTTAAAGGCCTATGTTATCTAAGACAAAGAAATATAAAATGTGTATATATATTTTAAGTATTTTATCATAAAGCATAAAAAGAAAATTTCCTTGCCAATATTTTCACGTGGGCCAAAGCTATTTCTCCACATATGAAATTCAAAGTTATCTTTCTTGCACAAACAACACTCATAAAATAAACTCTACAATTTCCTATATGAGCTATTTGATTTTTTTTTAAAAGTTTGATGTGAATCAATCTCAGTATAGAATCTTTCCATATTTTAAATGTCTTTCTTGCCAGGCACCAGTGGCTGACACCTGTAATCCAGCTACTGAGATTTGAGGATCACAGTTCAGAGCCAACCTGGACAGGAAAATCCATGAGACCCGAGTCTCTAATTAACCACCAGAATACCAAGTGGTAGAGCACAAGCTTGAATAAAAAATCTCAGGGAGAGTGCCCAGATCCTGAGTTCAAACCCCACAACTGACCAAAAAAAAAAGAATCAATCTTTTCCAGTCATTTAGAGCTCTTTCTTCCGTGTCTAAGTTGTTGCAACGTCTTATAGCAACTTGACAACACTCCATCCAAAGAATTCAGAGAAAAACATCCATTTATAGGTTATGTAATAAAATGGTGTATTACTATAACAACTCACATTGCTTGGCAGCGAGAGATGTTTGAGGCTTTGAGAACTCACTGGGCATGGTCAGAACACTCAATGGGGAATGGGTCTAAGTCAAGATGTTTCTCAGAGAGCACAGAACCACTGGCAGTCTAGGGAACCACTCTGATTGGGCAAGAGAACTACCACCGTACTGTACAAAGAAGCCAGTGTGTTCTAGGCATCCTCTAATTTCAAAGGGTATCTTCAAACAAGGTTGTACTTGTTTAGAGGAAATGTGAGTTAAGTCTCTCAGGGTAGGAATGTCTGTGTCTTTTTGCAGCACCCCATGGGGAAGATATGCTGTAGAATCCTTCTTTTTTGCCCCAAAATTATTCACAAATATCTCTGGTTATCCCCAGAGCTTAATTCACAGTACTTACACTGCAAATAATATACAGACAAGTAGGAGAATTATTAGACTTGAGCAGCGTGATCACAAGAACACTGACACAGAGAGACTCACAAATAGATTCTCCTCTTGGTCTCCTGACCCAAAAAGATGCCACTTGATAAGACCAAACACAAACTGGTAGCCAGAACAGTGAACCCAGAGACTTGGTTTTCATTACTATGCTTATCATTTGGAGACCTTTGGGTATGGCTGCCATGCCTCAGTTTGTCCTCAATCCCATCACTTCCTATGGTCTCATCCTGTCTGATACACATGGGTCTGCAACTGAACCAGTTGGATATACAGCTCTACTATAACTCAATTCTGTAGAGAAGCTAGTTAATCTTGGCCACATCAGAAGTGGTCTTAAGAGAGGAAGTATTTTCGATGGCAGAAGTACCCACTTGAGACCATGAAAAACCATGGACACACAGATATGATCACAGGCCTAAGGTAGCTGTTTAAAACCTTCAGCAACCCTTGGAAGGACAATGGAAGATTACTGAAACACACATTCATGGGTCCCTTTCCCTTCTGATTCGGATTCAGTAAATCTGGCAGTGGAGAGCCAAGAACCTGTACCTCAATGAGTTCCCAAAATGACAGGGTACCAGACCCTGCTTCAAACACTTTAACTATAATTACTTAAATCTTGGAACAACTCTGTAAAGTAGGAAGTAATATTATCCCTATTTTACTAATGAAAACATTGAAGGAGAGAGAGATTAAGAAACATGACTGTTCTTTTTCAGCTCATAAGAAGAAGAGCTAGATGAAGTCAGGCAATCTGGTTAAGAAGTTCCTACTCAGTATTACATGGCCTATGCAAACTTGTGAACAATAAAACACAAACCTCTCAAGGTTCACTGCTCCTAACTCAGTTAAAACCTTTTGCCCAACAAGACAACCATCTACTTGTTAGTTAAGCTAAGGACATTTCAACCCAATTCCTACACAATTACCTCAAGTTATGAAATTAAGACCAACATTAGTAAGTCTCAACAGCAGGTCAGCAGTCCATACAAGTCAGGTAGAGTTCTTAGACATGACATCAAAAGCACAATCCATTAAAGAAAAAATAAACTGAAATTCATCACAATTCAGATAAACTGAAATTCATCACAATTAAAACTTTTGCTCCACATAAGCCTCTGTGAAGAAAATAAAAAGACAGTCAAACATGGTGGCATACCTGTTAATTTCCAGCATTCTAATTGTAAGTTCAAGCCTAGCCTAGGTTATTGGAACTGCCTCATAAGAGAATGAGGGGCCCTGACACAACCATGTGGCTTTGTACACATGCCATGTGACAGGGTGTGTGGCCCAATGCCCAGATCATATTAAATGGTCTGAAAATGCAGGCTGCTGTTAGTACTCCTAATGACAAGTGACATAAGATCAAGATAATGTAACAAGGATGTCAACAATAGCTATTTCAATCCTCTTTACGTGTTACAACTGAGGAAACTGGGGTAGACCCAGCTGAGCCTAGAATTCAGAGTTCCTTCACTTGAGCCTCAGTCTCTTTCTCTAACACAATCTAGTCTGTCAGTGATTTTCTATGAGCAATAGGAACATAGAGATACCTCAGTTCTCCCAATTACACCCAATCAAAGCAATGTGCAATTTGAGTCTCCTTGCTCAAAATACACATGGTTTACAAATATCTGTTACATAATAATTCCTTAGCAGATATTTTAAGTTTCAGGCTAACAGCAAATGGGTTTGCGTCTACCACAGAAAATGATGAATGACTGATTATAAATCTCTGCTCTGATACAGTTTCTGATTGCATTAGACAGAGGGCACGGAGACTAATTAAAAATGCTCATGCAGGGGCTGGGAAGGTGGCTCAGTGGTAGAGCGCTTGCCTTGCATGCCTGAGGCCCTGGGTTCGATTCCTTAGCACCACATAAGCAAAAAGCCGGAAGTGGAGCTATGGCTCAAGTGGTAGAGCACTAGCCTTGAGCTGAAGAGCTAAGGGAGAGTGCCCAGGCCCAGAGTTCAGGCCCCACGACCGGACCCAAAAAAAAAAAATGCTTATGCATTCATCACCGTTGATTGTGCATAATCCACTGCCGAAGGTAGCGGTGCAGTGCCGTCTCCACAACGACAGAGAAAACAGGTGAATTCCCACTCACAACTCCCACAGGCGATCTGTCTTGATTTCAGAGTAAGTGGGCTTCCCCTAATAACCTAAATCACAAACAGAATAACAGGGAGAAAACTCTAGGCCAAATTTCACTATTCTAGCTAAGCAGAGGCTGGCCAGACCTGGTCACATGGCACATGATCAATAAATAATTACAGTGGATTGGTAAACAGGTCTGCAGGCATACTTTAGAGATTTTCAAAACTAATTTTTCTAGATGCCTACATAATTGGCAATCACAATACTGATCCAGTGAGGTAAAGGAAATGCATCCTATCTGTCACCACAGATGGCCCTTGCATCCCATCCAGGCCTGCTGTGGGTGGCCTAATCTCTCTCCACCCCTTCAAGGCAGCAATTACCATCTGACAGTCAATGCAAAAGCATCACCAAGGCCAAAATGCCAACATGTCCTTTCCAACAAGAAAAGAGGGTTATTCTCACACCCCCCCAAAAAACTCTGCCTCTCACCACAAAGAATGAAAAAAAGCTGAAGTACATTGTGTTCTCCTGTTCTCTCCTTTCACTCCCCTAACTCAGAAAGCCACAACTACCACCTGCCTCTCTGACCCAGCTCAGGAATCAGAATGTCACCCAGTGTCAGGATATAAGTGTAGACGAAGAAACCAATACACTCTCAAAGTATCCCTTACTTAAGGAACAGATAGCAGTATTCCTCCAAGGGGCCCCCACAGCAGCACTAGACATTTGCAAGGAAGGAGTCAAGGGAGTGGAAAAGGAATTATAACCGTGTCTTTAGAACCTGTGCAGCATACATCAAAGGCCTGGGCTCCATTCCCAGCACTGCTCAAAAAATGCACATGCAACCAGGCGCCAGTGGCTCATGCCTATAATCCTAGCTACTCAGAAGACTGAGACCTGAGGATCGCAGTTCAAAGCCAGCCTCACAGGAAAGTCCGTGAGACTCTTACCTCCAACA